GTGTGTGTGTGTGTGTGTGTGTGTACTCTGAACACATGCTCAGAGTTTGAGATACTTTATTTAAAGTAGTACTCATACTTTCTACAATACTACCACTCCTCAGATATATCTATTATCGTATTACTACAGTATTACTACAGCACCATCTCATACCCCACCCTCTTGTCTGGCTCATCCACAGCCGAGTGAGTTTGGTCAGTTCTACAGTAAGGACAGCTACGTGATACTCTACGAACGTTCAGATAAGGTCGACATCTTCATCACATACTTCTGGCACGGGGCCGATGCGCGTCCGGTAAGTCCATATGTAGTTAATGCTTTATAACCTAGAAGTCCATACGTAGTTAATGGTTTATAACCTAGAAGTCCATACGTAGTTAATGGTTTATAACTGACCACAGAGACCTTATTGTTTCATATAAATAGTTAGTTTTAGGTACAGCATGCTGGCTCAGGCGGGGTGCAGAAGCATCGGGTTAGCTAAAACGTATTCAACGGCACATACCTTAGCATAGACAGGTTGTGTGTGGGTTCGGATTTAACTCGTTGCGTATCGCATGGAATTGTTAGTTAGTCTTTAGCAGGGGTAGTGTGTTTTAGAATGGTTGAGACTGCCGTGTGGTCCAATCCTAGTAGTCTACCTACACCGCTACCCACACAGTTTACCCATAGCGTACCTATCTTATGCCTGCTTACAACAGTTGCGTTTACCAAACTTTCGCCCCAAAAAAGAAAACTATAAATTGCGGGTTCGTAAGAACGTACAGTCTTCTCTTTCTTATCGTCTCGTATACTTCTGGCAGTATAAACTCATAAACTCCTGTCGCTTACACTTATACCCTTCCGATGTCTTACAAACGTATCAACTTATAAATGTATAAACCTATAAACGTACAAACGTATACATAACCATCCAGAACGAGAAAGGGGCAGCGGTGCTGTTGGCCGTTGAGCTGGACAGCGACCACTCGAGCACTCAAGTGCGCGTCAACGAAGGCGAAGAAATGGAACACTTCTACAGCATCATAGCACACACACCACAGACTCATATGTGTGTGCGTAGTGGTACTAGACCTGTGAGTGTAGGGCAGAACTGTGAAGAGAGGGGGCGGGTGGAGGTGTATCAGGTCAGCAAACGGGGACAGTACTGTCGAGCGGATCAGCAAGAGGAGAGGGTATGGGATATGTAGGTGTCTGTACTATATGTACTTGGATATATTGAGTGGTGTATATACTTATCGTACAAGGTGCACTTATAATTA